CATCTCCTTGACCTCCATCTCGCCCTCAGAGTCACCACCCGGGACCTAGTCATGCTAACGTCCAGCTCTCTTCCCACGTAGGGGGACCCACCTGAGTGCCCTGACCCAGGGGCAACGAGTGGCTCTAGCTTTGCCTCCTTGGCCCAGGTGGCCCTGAGTGGGGAGGGCCTCTGAGCAGAACTGGAGGTCCCTGTGGGTGAGCCCCCACCGTCAGCAGCTCAGAGTCTCCCTCCCCGAGGCGGTGCAGGGTCAGAGTCGGAGGGCAGAGGAGCCGTGTCCCTGCGCCTTGGCAAGGAGGGCAGCCATCCATCCTTCCTTCATCCCCTCATCCCTTCATGTGCCCTCTCCCAGCACTGGAGGTGCGCCTGCCCGCCCCTGCCTTCAGGGCGGTTAGAATACTGTTTGACGAGGAGAGATGACAGGGAGACCCCCAATCCAGCTCTTGGGGTGATCGGGCAGGCTTTTGATGGAGGTGACATCCAACAGTGTCTTGAGGAGAGTGAGTCACCCTGGGCTTGGTCCAGAGCCCAGCTAAGCTGAGGGCAGAGTTCACGGGCAGAGGAGGCGGGCTTGGAGCAACTTTCCCTTCAGCCTCCGATGATAAAAACTGGGAGGAAGTGGTGCTGCTGAGCTCCTAACCCCAAAGGGGAGGGTAGAGACAGGTTGACCGGCCAGCTCGGAGCCAGACAGACGTGGCTGGGGATGTCGGTGCCAGTTGGGAGCATGCAGAGAGGGGCACACCGGGTGGGTTCTACTAGGAGGGCCAGGGGCCCAGCCAGGCCCCCGCGGGGTACTGCTCATGCTGCTCCCCGTCTCCGCATGCCCCCCACGTCCTCGCATGTCCGTGCCTGTGGCTCCCGCATGTGTGACCGCTGGTTCCCCCGCCTCCCAGCTCTGACAAGGCGCATGGCCCGTCCCCAGCCTGACTCCGGAGGCACCGTGGGCCCTGTCCTCCCCAGCTCCTTCCTGGATAGGGGTTCCCTGCCTGTCACCCCTCCTCGCTGTCCTTCCACACCTTAGAGCGAGGGGCAGCCCCGAGGGCCAGTGAAAGCTCTGGGAGCTCACAGTCCTCCAGGCAAAGGCCCCATCGGTCCATGTCTGTTTCCAAGATGGGGCCAGGGAGCGAGCTGACTCCCACGGCATTTCCGCCCCTGGAAAGGCCCTCCCATCCCAGGGCCTCGGTAGGACAGGGATGAAGGCCTGGAGCCAGGGGGACCCTGGAACTGCCACTTGGAACCCGCACTCGGAGGAAAGGGGTGGCCGTGGCTTGGTGCCGTGGGCTTCCTGGGCCCCAGGTCTCTCCCCACCCCTCCCGCCCCACGCCCGGGCCCCTGGACTCCGGTGGGCTGGGGTGTTTCCTCCCGTGCCCCCTGTGTACCGGCTCTCTCCCCCCGCCCTTCCCCAGCTCCAGCAGTACCCCCGGCTGCGCGAGGAGATGGAGCGCATCGTGACCACCCACATCCGGGAGCGCGAGGGGCGCACCAAGGAGCAGGTGAGCCACAGCCCCTCTTCCCTGGCCTTTCGCCCTGGCCCTCGGCTGTCTCTTCTGTGTCAGCCTTCCGCCTGCTTCCTGTCCTCAGACCAAACCTCTGCCTCTTATGGCGGGAATATCTGTATGAATTTACTGCTTCAGTGTGCAGTTCTGTGGCATGAAATCCGCTCGCGTTGCTGTGCAAGCATCACCATCATCCATTCCCAGAACTTTTCATCTTCCCCAAATGAGACTCTGTCCCCACAAATACTAGCTCCCCTCCCCCTCCCCCTTCCCCTCAGCCCCTGGCACCCACCACTCTACTTGCTGTTTCTAGGAATTTGACAACGCGAGGGTCCTCGCATAAGTGAAAGCGTAGACATTTGTCCTTTGTGTCTGGCTGATGTCACTTACATAATGTTTTCAGGTTTACCCATGTTGTAGCACGCGTCAGCACTGCCTTTCGGGGCCTGAATGGCAGGCCAGTGTGGGTGTGCACCACCTTTGTTCACCCGTTTGGGTACACCAAGCTGGGTTTTTTCCAGCTTTGGGCCATTGCAAGTAGTTCTTCTAGGAACATAGGTGTACACCTATCTCTTGGAGACCCTGCTTTCAATTCTTATGGGCAGATACCTGGGAATGGAATTGCTGGATCAGATGGTAATTCCGTATAATTCTATGTATGATCATTTTTTGAGGAACCACCATACTGATTCCCAAAGCAGCTGTACCATTTTACATCCCCCTACCCCCCACACACACCCCAACACCTGCTTCTCAACTTCCTGGCAGTCTGTCCTCTGGCGGTCTCTCTCTGGGCCTCTCTCTCTATTTGCGGTTTCTCTGGGTCACCCATACCTGTCCCAGCCACCTCTCCTCCTCTCATGTCCTCATTAATCAAACATTGATTCCACCATTTACTCACACACGTGTTGCTGATTGCCGTCGCTGAGCTGGGAGGAGCAGGCCCCCCTCAGGACGCTCCCAGGCGAGCCCTCTCCCCTTGTCCCTCTCGCATCCTCCTGTCCAAGCCCGCCTCTGCCTCCCGTGTCCCAGCCTCTGTCCTTACACATCCCTTTTCCTGTCCTCAGTCCCTCCCTTTTTGTTTTTGATGTCATTTATGAATTCTTATTGGTCTCTTTATTTTTTTTTTCAAGAGTCTTGGTATCTTCCTTTTTTTTTTTAAATATATTTTATTGATTTTTTACAGAGAGGAAGGGAGAGCGATAGTTAGAAACATCGATGAGATAGAAACATCGATCAGCTGCCTCCTGCACACCCCGCACTGGGGATGTGCCCACAACCCAGGTACATGCCCCTGACCGGAATCGAACCTGGGACCTTTCAGTCCGCAGGCCGACGCTCTATCCACTGAGCCAAACCGGTTTCGGCTTATTGGTCTCTTTAATTACAAGAGTGATAAACACTCAAGGAAAAATAGATGTGATTAGTTACAAGTAAGTGTCCCTCCATCACTCTTCCCTGCTCCCAGCTTCTCCCACAGAATAACCACTATTTTTTAAAATATATTTTATTGGTTTTTTACAGAGAGGAAAGGAGAGGGATAGAGAGTTAGAAACATCGATCAGCTGCCTCCTGCACACTCCCCACTGGGGATGTGCCCACAACCAAGGTACATGCCCTTGACCTGAATCGAACCTGGGACCCTTGAGTCCACAGGCTGACACTCCATCCACTGAGCCAAACCGGTTAGGGCAGAATAACCACTATTACCGGCGTGGTGTGTCCCCTCCGGCATTTTTCCTTGGCACACTCAGATTCCAGGTTCCATCTGACTCTAAGAGAACCACACTCGGTTGAACACCTACTACATGTCAGACATGTCACCGGCCTCATCTCATGGTGTCTTCCCCGCTCCTACGAGACGGAAACAATTCCTTTGTGGAACTTGAGGCTCGGCGACGACAGGCCCCAGGCTCGCAGGAGGCAGCAGGTGCATCAGGAATGTCACTCTCATGGCGACCCAGCTAGGAATCCCATCACTCTCCGTCATTTACAAAGAGGATCTTCCAAAGCCGGAGCCTAGACACTGTCCTCATCCTTTGAACAGCTTTATTGTTTAGAGGGTCCCATCATCTATTTCACCTTTTATTTTTTTAATACAGAGAAGAACGTAGAGAGAGAGAAACATCAAAGATAAGAATCATTGATCGGCTATCTCCTGCACGCCCCCTACTGGGATGGAGCCCTCAACCTGGGCACCTCCTGGTCGATGATCAACCACTGAGCCACACTGGCCAGGCTATTTCACCTTTTGATGGCCATTGGCCTGTTCCCAATTTTTTTCTACTGAAAACCACACCACACTGAACACCCTGATGCATGTATTTTTGCCCACTTGATGAGTTTATCTATGAGATGTAGTTCTAGAAGTGAATCTGTACATTTTAGTGTTAAATATTATCCGATTGCCCTCCAAGAATTCGATCCTAATGTACACTTCCACCAATAGTTGATGAGAGAATCTATCTTCTCACAATTATGCCCACACTGGGTCATTATCAATATTTAGCACTGAACTGATAGGCTTAAAGGGGCCTCGTGGTTTTAGCTTACATTTCTTTCTTACTGGGGGTGGGGGTGAACGTTCTTTATGTATCCTTGTTGGCTATCTGTATTTCTTCTCTGAGTTACCCATTCCCACTCTTTGACCATTTTGATTTGTGCTTCTTGTGTAGGAACTCTTCATTTATTACGGGTCCTGTTATGTGTGTATGTATTTACTTATTACAGACTGTGGATGCATTTATTATGGGCCCTGTAGTGCTGTGAGAATGCCATGCATATTAACACTTTGTGGTGTCTTTCCCACCTGCCTCCTGCCCGGTGTGTCCTGGAAGGTCATGCTCCTCATCGACATTGAGCTGGCTTACATGAACACCAACCATGAGGACTTCATCGGCTTTGCCAAGTGAGTGCTCCCTGGGCAGAGAAGGTGACTGTGTGTGTGTGTGTGTGTGTGTGTGTGTGTGAGAGAGAGAGAGAGAGAGAGAGAGACAGAGACCCAGGCCTTCTGGGTTAACGCTCTGTGTTTGGCGCCCACTGAGCAGTGGCAGTGGAGCTGGGCCTCTTGAAAGGAGAAGTTCTGAGATGAGGCTCTTCCCTCTCTCCCCTTCAGTGCTCAGCAGAGGAGCAGCCAGATGAACAAGAAGAAGGCTTCAGGGAACCAGGTGAGTGAGCCCCGGTGCCCCAGCCCGAGGGATGGAGGGTGCCGGATGGACGCCAAGCTCTGAGAGCCCCCTCCCCAAGGGGAAGGGTCCCCCTCCCCAGCTGCCAGCCACAAGCCTCCCACTCTGCCTCAGTAACCCTCTCTCCTCTCTCCCGATGCTTCTCGTGGTTGATATGGTTACCTCTTTGCAGGATGAGATTCTGGTGAGTACCAGGACTGGGGCTCTTGGCTTGTGTGGCGAGGGGGAGGAAGGGGCCCACTGCAGTGGGGATGGGCAAGAGGGGACCCTTTGGCTTGAGCGGCTTGCACACACCAGCACAGTTGCCCACACATGGTCTCAGGCCAGAGGCCAGGCCTCGCCACACACAGGGTACCAGCACCCTGTCCATCAGTGCACAGGAGCTAAGTGCTACTTCAGGCAGAGGCAGACCCTGTGGGCTGGGGTGGGGGGAAATGCCTGGCAGGGGCCTGGAACTTAGTAGGTGCTGCTTAAATGTCTGTTGGATGACGGACGGATGGGAAAGACGCATGCTAGCCACCTCTACCATGAAATAAAGCGATGAGTGACATGTCATGAGACACGTCCCTCCTCATCTGTTGTGTCCTTCAGATCTCGGTGGACACCTCACTTCTCCACCCCAGTTGTACACATGAGCCACAGAGTCCTGGGCTGCTCCAGAGGCTGGAGTTTCTTTGTAATAATTGAGGTGTTTGTGTGATTGTTTCCCTCCCAAACCCAGCAGGGGAAGGGCTGGGTCTGTCCTGTTCACCGTAAATCCTCAGTGCCCAGCCCAGTGCCTGGCACACGATAGGCGCTCAGTAGAATAAGTAATTAATGAATGGATTATCCCAGGGCCGTTCGGTTCAGCGAACACTCACTGGGGCCTACACTGTGCTGGCCCCTGGACAGGAGGCAGACCCTGGCCCTGCACCTCGGAGACCCGGCCTGCAGGCAGGGCCCAGGCAGGGTGGGAGTCGGGAGCGTGGGCGGTCCTGGTGTGGGGGCTCTGGAGAGGGGTTTGGGTGAGCAGGGAGGAGGGCAGGGCTGGGGGTGGCGAGGGAGGACCAAGGCTGCAAGCGAGGGCACGGAGCCGGGTGACAAAGCCTGCTGGTCAGATGCTGAGATCCACAGTGCCAGGGGGTGGCATTTGGACTCAACTCCGAAGGCAGCGACAAGACACTGAGTGGATCTTCACTGGACGGGGACCGGGTGGGAGGGAGTCACAGGGCACCTGGCTGCGTGTCCCTGTTCACGGCTCAGGCCATTACTCAGCTGCTGGTCCGCCATGGGACTTGGGGAAGCCGGAGAGGGTAAGAGGGCTCCGAGGGTCTCAGGAGTGGGCCTGGCCCCCAGGACTTTCCCACCGGCCCCAGGATCCTGGGAGCTTCTGTGGACGCTCAGAAGAGAAGCCAGGGAGGGAGAAGCAGCTCCCTGTCCTCTCAGTCTGGGCCTCCACCAGGGTCTGGGCCTCCACCAGGGTCTGGGCCGTGGCTCTGCCCTTGGAGTCCAATTCAGGGGTCCCGGTCTGTGCCAATGGCTCAGGACTGCTGCTTCCTGCTGTGGAAGGAGACCTTTGCCTGCAACCCCGAGCTGCCCCCAGGGAGAAGGGTCCTGGGTGTCTCATGCTCAGCCCCTTCCTCCTCCCCCACTCCCTACCACCCCAACCTGTGTCTGGGGACTGGGGCCAAAGACCCTTAGGGCCCTACTATTGTAGCACTCAGGCCACGTGTATTCATTGATCACTTACTGTCTGTTGAGCACTCTGCAAGGTGCTGGGATACAATGATCCAGAGAATTGATAGCTCAGCAAGAGAGGCTGACATCAACGGACACACACACACACACACACACACACACACGCACGCATATGCACACACACATGCACGCGCACACACACGCACACGTTAATTCAAGATCCCAGTTACTGTCATAGTAGAAGATTTAAGGGAGTGATAATGGGGGTCCTGACTTTTACTGGGCGGGGGGGATAGAGAGGGCCTGCCTGAGAATGAATGTGACTTCTGAGCCGATACACAGAGGGGGAGTGGGCATTTGCCAGGCACACAGGAGGGGATGTGCTCTCTAGGCAGAGGCAAGAGCAGCACGTGCAAAGTCCCTGAGGTCGGAAAGAAGCCTGAGAATAAATCGGAGCTTAAGCTGAAAAGGCACTCAGAGCTGTCTTGCCCAGTCGGCCGCCTAAGCTCGGCTTGTGCACTGTCAGCGGTGGGGGCGCCTCTCCTCCCCGGACCAGCAGGGCCCGACGCACGTGGCTCTGACGGTCAGAAGGCTCTTTACCCTGAGCTCGGCCTCCCTCTGTCCTCCAACCTGGTCACTGGTCATTCAAACCAGGCCAGGTCTGGCCCCCACCCTCCGGACCGGCCAGGCCTCCACGAGCTGGGGGAGGGGTGGGCTTTCGAGCGCCTCTCTTTGCCTCCCCCCGCCTCCCCGGGGAAGCCTGGACTCTGCCCACTGACCTCCTGCCCCCTCACCCTGCAGGTCATCCGGAAGGGCTGGCTGACCATTAACAATATTGGCATCATGAAGGGGGGCTCCAAGGAGTATTGGTTTGTGCTGACGGCCGAGAATCTGTCCTGGTACAAGGATGATGAGGTGAGTAAAGGGGTTGGACAGGCTCAGACCCTATCCCTGGCTTGGCAGGGACTGGACCGCCCAGCAGGGGGGTTTACAAATCCCATCAAAGACCCTTGGGTAGAGCTGGGCCGCAAGGATCAGGGGCAGGCAATCCTGGGGGCTCATCGGGGCTGGGCAGAGAAGGTGGCGTGGCAGGACTGGGGAGCCTGGGCTGAGCACCCTAAAGAGGGTGGGCGAGGGTGTTGGGCACCCCCCTAACCCCAAGCCCCGGCCCTGCAGCCGTCCTGTTCTCCTGCTCCAGGGCACGCCACCTCTTCTGTGGCCCCCACAGACCCATGACACACAGAGTCCAGCTGCCAGTCACCCTGTTAACCCCTGCCTCCCAGTCCCCCAGGCCCCAGTGTCCAAGGGACATGCCCAGAGCGCCTCCAGGTTGAGGGATCGAGTGATGGAGTCCCACAGAGGCGCCCCTCTAAACCCCTCCCTGCCCAGTGGGGCACACAGACCACCCCCACCAGCCACCGCCCTCCCTGCTGCTGGTCTCCTTTAAGAATGAGTCTATTTGGCTTCCACATCTGGATTCCAGAGGTGAC